CCAGTGGGCATATGATCAATATCACGTAATCCAGGTATGACCTTGGCTGAACAATTCTTACTCACTCTGAGAAAGATTTTAAAAAATAATTAAAAACACTGTCACTGATTTTGAAACAAGATCAGCAATTAGAACTCAATGTCAAATTAGGTAAACAATAGTATATAAATGAGTCGGATACTCTAACCATACGCCACCGGAACGGTGCAAGCACGGACTTAATCAGGTGTATGATAAGCTGTTCTACAATATATGTGTGCAGATATAAAGTTAAATGTACATCAGTAGCTCTATTTAGTTCTTCAAATGTTACACAGTTCTCTTGGGAACAGCTTCTGTATCTTCCAGTTTGATTTAATTATTGTGGGAACAGCTTGGTAGACCTAGCATTACGATAGATATGAATCTGGAAGATGACGGTCCAACTCAAGAGCAAGGAGAAATAATTTAAATTATAGAGTGTACATATTCGCTCTTTATTTTCTGCATTGCACAATCTCCATACATCTATTTGTAAGCTGTGATTAGATGTTCTGAATATATATATATATATATATATATATATATATATATATATATATATATATATATATATATATATATATATATATATATATATATATATATATATATATATATATATATATATATATATATATATATATATATATATACATATTATTTTGTAAATAAATATTATGAAATTAAGATGTTTTACAAAATATTTTTTTCTTTTTTATCTTTTTTAGTCTCTAACTGAGAGGGCCAAATTTGTATGTTTTGATGAAAGGAATGTTAGTATCGGTCCTAGGAATTGGGATATTTTGTCTTTTCTCATATTTATGCATGACCTGCATGTAAGCCTTGCATTTTAAAAAGTTTAGTATAGCATTGTATTCATTTGCTACATTATACACCTTTTTCATCTGAACAAATCAAAACTGTATACATTACATCCAGTCATTTTGTTTCTATAGCCCCGCTAAAAAATCTCCACCAAAACCATATTAATAAAATGCCTATATATAAAATTTAATAATATATATTTAATAAAGGATTATGGTCTCAGTTTTCCATGCAAGAAAAAATTAGGGTTGATTTCATCAAATGTTATACAATACGCAGACAAATATCCCGTAAAATGTCCTTATTTTAAATCTATATATTAATGACTGCTTAATAAGCATAGGGTGTCTGTTTTTTGTATGTACGCGTCTGCTATGACATAATAGATTTAATGATCAATTATTGATTAATGGGAGTCAGTGTTGTGAAGAGACTTTATCAACCCAAATTGGCTAATTTCAAGAAGCCAACTTGCGTTCATAGTGAATGTCCAGACTTTCCTTATGTACAAAATGTAGTAACTTTGGAAAATGTGTTTTCCACAGATGATTAGTTTTATGTCATATATTTTTCTCTCTGACTAATATTTTGGTAAAATGTCATCACTGTTACATACGAGAACTTCTAATTTTCAGTCTGGAAAGATGTTTAAAATCATAGCCAATAGAAGAATGATTAGATAGCCTTATATCTTTCTACGGACACCTATTGTGAAAAAGGCCATGTAATTGTTGGTTACTACATGCTGAACAATAATCAACAGAATAAAAACAGTGGTACTTTATATGTTTTTATTTCAAAGAGATCAAAGTCACATTCTTTTATTGAAAGCAATACATTAGTTGGGTAAAACAGTCCCCAGCTTTATGTTTGGAAAATTATGAATTGTTCAAGTCGAAAGATACTATATCACTTATTAGTGATTCTGCCAGGTATCTTCGTGTTAAAACACTAGGGGACAGAGAACTTCACAGAGTCTTGTATCATCAGGTACTTCGCTTTTGTCTGAGGTCTTCTAGTGAAATTGTTCTTATTCAATGAGTATAGTACTGCTTCAATACTATAAATATCCATGTGTCAATTTGATACGAGATTTGGTCTCAAGATATGTGACTGTCGGAATGATTCCTTTACCCCTTTACCCACTAAGGGTATTCACTTATTACTAGGCATTGACATAGCTGTAAATAATGAAATAGTTAATCTACTTGTAACAGACAATGCCTTGTTTGGCTCAAAAAGTTGATCAAGATGAAATCTATGAGAATAATATTAATGTAGACGTTTCGTTTCGATGACATAATTTTGTCAGTTTTTATGAGGTTACATTTGCTCCTAGAATTCATCAATCAGTAGATATTGATCGAAGTCTTTCATTACACATTCTCTATGTTCTAATCAGAATGACTTTCGATGAGGAACATGACCCTGAGATAACAAGTTTATATTAGTGAAAATAAATGCGTACCAGTCATTTTGTCGTTTTGTGAAAAATAAGAGCCTTATGTAAATATTTAGTTCACATAATTTACCAGCTTGTAGCGAGCTATATTGACAGGAAATTCTCTGATCATTTAGGAGTCAATAAGACTTGTCAAAAGTACTTATATAATTTGTATTGACAGAATAGCAAAATAGATATTTCAAAATAATATATATATCGTCATACTTGCCTATTGGCACGAAAACCCACTCAGAGTACACATGGAGTTCACCTGCACCTTATGTCAGAATTTGATGAATCATTTAGCAGAATATAATGGTAGACTGTGTCAGTTATTTACCCAGAACAACGTCAGGTAATAAGTACCGTTTGATCCTATGTGTTTTTATACACAAGATTCCCAGAATCAATTCATTTGAAAAATATCATAAACTTAAACCAGAGGAAGCGTTGTCATGTGTGTTTGCACTTGTTGGTCGTCCCATATCATTTAAATATTATCAAGGAACACATTTTACGACCGGAAGTTTCCAATACGCGAGGAATGTATTAGGTACCCAACACTCTAAGTTTTCTCCGTATTAACTCAGGTATAGAAATAGGTCATCAATTTTTGAAGAATAAAATTCGGTCAAATTGATATGAAATAGTCACAGGTTGCGATGTTGATGTTCATTTGTTGTTGTTTGCTGCAGGGGAATCAGTTTAAGAATCGATAGATTTTGGTCTTCTTGAACTGAATGATGGACATTACGAACCCGTGACCATTGATGTTATAAATGAGGAGCTTCTTTCATCCAATTCTTTAGAAATCGATCTTCATGACTATTCCTCTGATTATAGATAGAAATTGACAATGGTTTTTGAAGTGGCAAGAACTAATATTCACTCTTTTTTATATGTGTGTGTATGTGTTTACGTGTGCTTGTGCATTGTGCTTGTGTGCGTGTGCATTGTGCGTGAGTGTGATGCATAATAAAAATTTTATATTAGTTATTTGGTAGTTTATATCGCTGTATGATTAATTATCTAATGCTGTAATTGGGTTTTGTACTAGTTAGATGAATCATATATAATGTGTACTATTTCCTTCATTAAAGTCTAAGATCGATGTACTGAAGAATTGAGAAAAAACATCACGTTGTCCAATAATGGCGAATCGAGGTCACATGTGATCCTGGCGATAGCTCTTGACCGACTTGTTTTAATTATCCACTTTGTATCAGCTGATTTGTTGTTTTTTTTAAATCCAGGATTATTGACTGAAAGCTTGGTACAAGTGTTCTGACAAGTACCTATTATCTTTATAATGAAAGAAAATAGAGAAACATTTACCATTCGTAACATTTGACAGGTCTTTTAAGGAACTGAGAATTTACAATCGTTCTTGTTATTTACATTACATTAAACATTCATTTCAAAAGAAACTATGAGCACCTATGCAAAACTAAACTGGATTATTGTTGTTTTTTTGAAAGTGTATCTCGACATTTATATAGGAGAAATTAAAAACTGTTAGGAATATTTTGGACTTACCGTGAATTCACCTAACTACATTTAGATTTAAATCAGTCTGTATTGTTGACACATCATTACTTTACAGCTGTTACTCAGAATGAATTTGGAAGGTACTCGGATTACGTAGGATCTATTGGAACTGTTAGAACTATTCATGAAAAAAGAATTATGTCAGTATGCTGTAATAAAAGATTAAATTCTTTTATTTTGCATTTTAGGGAAAGTATTGAATATATTGAATATTGCAAACGTTTGGTGATGTTGCTCCTTTTTTGTCACATAGTTAAACCTCTAGAGTCGTAACGCCAGTTAAAAAAGAGATTATGGTTTGACATAAATAGAAAAGAAAGGAAACGAAAAAGTTTTCAGCCTTGTGATCTTTGATACAACTCAAAATCCTTTTCATGCCAAATTCTATGGGCAAACAGTTAAACTGAATGTCCACGACTTAAATTAAATCATTATATTTTCGCCATATAAATATGCTAAAGAGTCCTTTGATAAAGATAGCCCAGTTACTAATTCAATCAGTATAGTTTTTACCTGTCACACACAGTGTGGATTTAAACGATGCAAAAAAACATATAACTTAATGATACAACAATCCTGTCCTATATCAAGGAAACTATCCCGATATTTCCAAACATAATTAATAATTTAAGTACAAGATGCCATAACAAAATTATTGAGTACAAAATAATACACCGAATTTTTACAAAAAATCAATAGAATTAAACGTTGACAAATGACAGAAATTTGAAATTGTAACATCCATAATGCGAAATATTTGTCGATATGCTGATGTATATCTTGTATTTAACGTCATTCCGATTCGTCTTTGCATGCAATTAAGGCCAGTTAAAAAAACAACAAAATAACTGGCTTTATAAAACTTGTCATCTGGATTAATGAATGTTTTAATATGGATGAATCCAATAAACCATTTTAAAAACAATCTTCCCAATCCATTATAGAATTTGGAGTCTTGAAGTAGCTTTAACAAATTTTCAGTCATATCTTTACGATGTCTGCAGTGTGGCAGTCTATAGTGATGACCAGCAATGGGACATCATGTCGCAGACATGTAGCATCATGTCCCACCCAGTCACCTTATATTGACACCAGGCAGACCAGTATTAACACTAACCTCTTAGGTTAGCGTCTATCGAGGCAGCTGTTAGTACCATTTTTATGTCTCTGGTATGAATTGGCTGGTGTTTGAACCCACGATCTCTCGCATCCGAGGCGGACGCTCTTACCATTAAGCCATCGGTGGGGAATAATGAATGCAGGTCTTAGGTTTACCTTAACATCGAAAGCTCAAGAATGACATCTTCGCAAATTCCTTTCTGTACTCGTTATCAATATAAGCTTCGAAACTAATATTAATATATCCTACTTTCAAACATACTTTTCATTCAGATAGATCTAATATACGATTTAGAAACTACATTTATGAAGCAAAATGAACAATAATTATTAACAATGTAGGGTGATTTTGTCATTCAGTACTCATAAATACATAATAATTTTTTTTCACAAATACAGACAGACACACATACACACTTCATTACTGCATACGTTTATAATTTGATTTTAACATTCTCTCTTGAATTTTTTTATTTATATGAATTATTGACCCAATTTTGTAAATGGTAACAGCTGAAATACTTACGTATAAACATAAATTGCATCTATCAAAGAATTGTAATGAAGATTACCTCCATTCCGAATTTACAATGAAATATTAATATGCATCATGTCACAGATGAGAGGTTTGCTTTATGTATGTTAATATGTATAATGTATTTAATTAGTACACGTCTTTCCGCGTTTAGCAAGCGAATTTTGTTACCGGCAGTGTGCATTGGAACACCGTGACTCACGATGTTTTGCCACCATGTAATAAACCGATTCGGTACGTATTGTAACCTTGCATGATTATTTGTGCATATTTTACTTGTTAGTTATATCAGTATAATGAAATTACATTGCCTAATGTATAATTCCACCATGACATGGTCAATTTATTCCATAATTTTTATTTTTTGCTGTGCATTCGTTGCCAATATACACTGATCTGCCATTTTCACTCTTTTAAGCAGTGAGAACTACGGAATCCGTTTTGGCTATAGGTCACATGACCTTTTTTGTACAGCACAATGTATATGTAATGTAGAGCTTCACTGTTAGCCTGTCCAGCGTTTGGAGCAGACGAAAGTAAATCAACGGGTGACAATTTCATCAATTCTAGAATGTCTCAGGCGATGTTAGATAGACATAGTCACGTTGCAATGGATAGTAAGTACCTAATGAAATTTGATGTGCTTGTTTGACATTAAGGGGAATTCCAGAAGTTATTTATTATTCATGAGGTGACGTCTGTTACCGTGTTGGTTGAAATAATTTCACCTTCGGTAAATTATCACCGCAATTAATCTATAAAAGTGAAGGCGAAAGATCATTACAATCTATATAATCCTGGGAAACATGTATATTGTTCCCTCAGGAACTGGTATATAAGTAATTAATGCAAAGTCGCTACCAACTCGTTACTTTTCAACCCTCGTAGAAGGCGAACTCTTTCACCTTGTTAGAAGGCAAACTCGCGTTGCACCTTCGCCTTATGATATTCTACACCTTCAGCTCCTGAAGGTTAATATTTCACCTTCACCTTTTTTCACCGCCACGACTTAAGCAACTCTTTCATGTACTTCCATGAGGTGAATTCTATGTGATATATATATCATTACAAATGTAGTTTGAAATCCACTCAGAGGTGGAGAAGTTGCAATTATATTTGAAGCTCCATTGCATTTTCCCCCACGGGAGTCCATTACCTTTGTCTCTCGTGATTCTATGGGTTACATAAGTTTAGTATTAAGTCTTGAATATTTATGTATATGTAACTGTATTGACATTCAGTAGTTCTATATCCACCTGGTCTTGTCCTTAAAGCAAGTTACAAATAAATACATTCGATGTTTATTCTACAAGGTCTTGTGTTATTCTTTCTAATAAACAGCTAGACAGGAGGACCCAAAAATATTGTAGCCAGGAGACGGCGTTACAGAACAACAGCCGAACACCTACTCCAAAAAGGAAAAAAAATAATTTATTGGCAAATATAATTTTAAGTAGTTTTCAAACAAAAAAAATCCACCTGAAAAAGAAAATAAAATGTCGTTGGTCAGGTCACCATGATACTAGAATTAATAAGAAGGACTAACGTTTACAACATAAATATTACACTATATTAAAACCCGTCTACTTTCCGCCCAGAAGCAAAACGTCTCTCTTTATTGCATACAGTCAACAGGTTTTATTTCGTAATATATGGTAAAAAAGCGTATAATGTACTTGGTAGCAATAACATTATAACCTCACGTCATCCCAGTGTCACGAGAGAACGAGTGATTTTAATTTCACTCTTCAGACTGAAATTAGGTATATTTATTAACCCATAAACTATAATCACTAAAATTAGGTAGTTTAGAAGCCACAAAATAATAATGAGATGTGTTTGTTCTTCGACTGCTTTCAATTATGTTCGTGTGTACGTGCGTGTGTGTTCATTCATGTCTAGGTTTCGAACATAATTCGATACAATCTTACAGTCAATGGAGAGCTATTCATAACTAGCTTGTATGAAGCACTACATAATATCTGTTTATTTGTTTAGCGTTAATATCAAATAAGGGGCCAATAACAAAGTACGACAAATACATGACATTAATATTTAATATCTGACATTTCAGCTCGTGGTGAGAATGACAGGCCAACAAAATATACAGTATGCCTCATCGTTCCTAAGCAAACTGCATCGTGCATATTAACAATTTTGCTTTTTTTCGTAGGATACGTTATCAAGAAAGTTTCAAATATTAAATTTTCAATGACAATTCTCAATTGTATTTTTTAGTAAATTCAGTTTATTTGAGTACTTATAGAAAACGGTAATGCGAAGATAAATGCAAAATAATCTAACATAACATCTGCATTAAATATAAGAGTACCTGAGTCATAGTTCAGTGCTTGTAGTCTGTGTAACTTTGAAATTTATGAATAAATTTAAGCATTTGATACAAGACTCATCCGGCATCTTTAAACCAATATTAATTAAATAACAACTACTAACAATTACAAACTATAATCATGAATACACACACAAACACACACACACACACACACACACACATATATATATATATATATATATATATATATATATATATATATATATATATATACATATATATATATATATATATATATATATGTAACAATGAGAAAAGACGATTTATGAAAAAGAGGTATAAGCCAACGGAATAAAAGAGATCGTTATAAATTAACGGTAAATTCTAGAAATAGTGTATATATCTAGAGTAAAATAAAATGCCAATGTTCTAAATATATACACCAATTACGAAAAAAATTACATAAATATTTTCTCGTCTAATAATGTAGACCTTATTTAGCAAGACGTAAATATAATAATGCACAATGATGAAAAATGCATTTCGTTTTGTAAGATTATTGTTGTTAATAGATTCGGAAATGAAAGAAAATAAGCAGAATAATCAGGTTAATAGTTTTGAGAAGAAAACATTATAACGAACTTAGTAAGATTGGAATCGAATATAATTTCTGGAAAAAAAATAAACATTTTGCAAACTTTGCACAAAAGATATTTAAGTAATATATTTAAGTAATATATATATATATATATATATATATATATATATATATATATATATATATATATATATATATATATATATATGTGTGTGTGTGTGTGTGTGTGTGTTTGTGTGCGAATGTGTGTTTGAAATGAATAATGATATAATCTTACAGAGATTAAAGAAGATTATCAGTATTTTAATTATGTCCCTAAACTTTTCTCGTTGAAGTCGTTTTGTGATGGCTATGATGTAAAGAAAGAATGATGCCGCATAATAATAATAATAATAATAATAATAATAATAATAATAATAATAATAATAATAATAATAATAATAATAATAATAATAATAATAATAATAATAATAATAATAATAATAATAATAATAATAATAATTACTTTGATCTAGCACATTATCACTGTGTGTAAAGACTACCACAGGATGGTTCTTTCAAAATGCGGTTGATAGAATTAGATTTGCTCACAAATATTTGTGTGTGAAATAAGAGCATGGTGTCAAATAAATTGTCTAAAGCAAATCAGAAAGCGATTGCAGCAAAGAACGAGAGTATGATAAGTCAAGGTGAAGGTCATTCATTATCTATCTATTGTCAGCATTGTATAGGAAAGATTCACGTGCGAAGACATGTTGATAATACACTTCATTTTAGAGGCATAAAACAATGGAAGATATTATATTGCAATGAGATAATAAAAGTTGGGGTCGAATTATAAAGGCAGAAGTAGAAGTTCCAGGTTTATTTTGCACGACTATTTTAAGACTTGTTTTTAGCACCTGAAGTCATTCTAATTAACTATCACCGTTGCGGATGAAACTGATAGTAGATACAAATGATACAAACATTTAGTGCCAACAGCACGCTAATTGACTAATTTCGGTGACATCATCAATTTTTAATATTTCTTGTTTGTCAATTGTGCATTATTATTGTACAAAAAATAACAAAAAGACATTCCTTAGTAATATGTAAGAAATTTCCGAAAACTTTGTTAATTCTACCCCGCGTGCCATGTTTGCACGCCATGTTGGTACCCATTTCCAGAGCTCTGTACTATCAACATCTTTTAAGATTCACCAAAGAATGTGATATTGCTGTCAAACACCAAAGAGTGTGGTATTTCAGGAATATAGACAGACGTAGTTTTATAGTGATAACAAAAAACTTTCTACTCATATTTTACAGCAAGAAAAAAATAAATTTTGAGCTCCTGACAGTTTTAGGACAACTATTATCAGTTATCGGAACATAGTTTGTGTCGGAATTTTAGACGTCTGTCTGCAGTCAATAAGCATGAGATTGGATACAAATAATGTCCAAAACACACCAATAACCAAAAAAAACGTTAAAATTTTACCCTTGTACAAATATGCGAGGAAAATAATGAATCTGAAACAAAGTCATTTTCACAAAAGTGGCATCAGGCTAAACGAATATCTCTTGGAAGTAGATGAATTTATATGTATTTAAAGTAACCCTTAAATGCATTTCCAGCCACTATTTCAGGCAAAATGATAGGAATCTCCAGCAGTTAATGAGCTAAGAAATAATAAATGCTATGTTTTCCACT